TCCACAGTCCAGGACCTTCTCAGGGGTCCCCCGCATTCGTTGGGACAGCGCAGCCCCCCCACACCCTCACATCCGAGCGTGTGGGGGTCTGCAGGATAACGCCCTTGGCGGGAAGAGTCATCACCTAGGTGGTTGTCAGACTTTCTTGAAGTGGACGCTAGGGGCGTGCGTCCCTGAAAGGCCCCCGTTTCTGGCGATGAGTGCCCTTTTGATGTGAGAGCAGAAGGTGCGAAATGGCTGGCAGTACCCTCCCGCGGAAACGCTATCAGTTTGCCGTTTGCAGGGGTGGCTTTGTTCCAGGTGCGACAGCTAGGACTCCCGCTCCTGAGGTCTTTTGTTCTAGAAAGTCCACGTGGGAAAGTCCCCGCAAAATCAAGAGTCACCCGCATGGGTTTTTCCGCCATTGTTTCAGCCACATCCTCTGTGGATGGGAAGTCTCCCATACGGAAGCCCCTGAAGTGTCTGTGTCAGCACGTGGCCTGCCCGTCCTCGGTCCACCCCCCCTCCCCCACCACCACACACACACACACCCCGGCAGGTTAGGAAGTCCCGGTGAGCTCGCTCCTTAGACCCCTCCTGCTGGTCCCCTGTCCTGCCCTCACTGGAAAGAGCAGTCTCCATCTCTTCAGATTCGCTGCTGGGGGTGTCCTGCTGGCTCCCTCCACCCAGGGGCGCTCCCACCCCTTCTCAGGAAGCAGCTACAAATCCGTTGTCTTCGTATCTTCGCTCCCTGCTGTGTGGTTGTCTGGCCCCCAGTTCCCAGTGCCCAGCACTTTGTAGTCCCACCCGGGTTACAACCCTCCCTGACATCCAGGCCCTGGTAAAGGCAGAGACAGGAAAGAAACGGGCCCTCCCCCCACCCCCGGCTTCCAGTGACATGACAGCGGCTGTGCCGAGTCCTAAGGCCCACAGCGGGCGCAGACAGCCTGGGCTTGTAGACGTGGGTCCTCATTGACGAGGCTGCTTTAAAGGGATGCTCGGCAGACACACTGACTTAGGAAGCACGAGACCGAGGTCGGACCCCATCTCGCTGTATCCTGGTGGCGGGTGTGGGTCCGTTTGACACATTGTCATGCTGAGGTGTTGGTACTGCTACCCTCACATCTCCCATCAAACCGCCCAGAGCCGGGGAGGGGTGGGGAGGGGTGGAAACTGCTTTGCACTATAATTTGCTTGGTGTATTTGTTTTTAATGCACAAGTTGCTTGTACAGTAAACTTCTGTATTATTTAACTGTAAACGGAATTGTGACTGATTTGTTACAATAATATAACTCTGAGGTGTGTTGAAGGATCCAATGCCAGGCTCCTAGGGCTGTGTGCAGGGGGTGAGGGAGGATGGAGACACACACCCCCTCTCCCCCCGCCCACTGTGGCCAAGGAGGAATGGGGCAGGGCCTCAGCCTGGGCAGGAATAGGACTAAGCCCCCTGCTGAGGAGACCCCCAGCGCCGTGGCCCCCCTGCGTCCGCTCCATCGGGAATGGCCACTGAGCCCACCCCAGGCAGGTGCAGCCACTGAGGCCTCCTGGGGCGGCTGGGGCGCCAGGGGAATGTCTGGTCTTCAGGTGCCACCACCCCTTCTCCCTCTCACGTGGCCCAGGACTTTTCACGAGGGAATGGAAGAAACCACCCCTCACAGCGTGTTCCCACGTGCAGGGTCGGGGAGGGCAGAGCAGGTGGAGCCTAAAGCAGGCTCGGTGGGAGCCGCTCTGGGGCCCGAGCTGGAAGAGCAGCGACTCAGCAGCAATCAACTGCGGCGCGAGCAGGTGGCTCAGCTCCCCCATTTTGCAGATGAAGAGACTGAGGTGCAAAGAGAGGGTGTCATCTGGCTTCACATCTCCCTGGGCGAGGACCGCAGCCTGCTTGGTGGGGGGCTGTGGGGTGTGTGGTGTGGGGGCCTGCCTTGGCAGCCCCCCCAACCCCCAACCTGCCCAGCCAGGAGGACTGGCCCACCCTGCCTGGCCCGTCAGGACTTGTGGAGGGGGATTTTCATCAAACAGACCTTATTTCCAAGTGAAAGTACCCACTTCAAAAGCGAATCCCAAGATTTATCCCTGTGCCCTTAGGTCGGTCTGCCTGAAACCCAACACCCAACAGGAAGCTGCCTTTCCCCAGCTGAACCCCACCCCACCCCCCAGCACCCCTCTGCCCGAGGGACCAGCCCGAGGGAGCACTCTCTGGGATGTGCTCTGAGTGAGGGGGCTGGTCCTGGAGCCGCGTCTGCAGGCGGACACGCTGCTTCCGTCTGTGAGTTTATCTGCGGGCACTTTGTAGGGATGATGGGGATGATGTGGGGACCACAGTTCGAGCCCCTCCCCCCAGCCACGCTTCGATGCCACCGCTGATGGGAGGGGAGCTGTGTTCTCCAGAGCCCCTGACGCACAGCTCCATCACCTTCACCCACCAGGCGCAGACCAGCCCACCCAGCTTCCTCGGGGGAACCGGCCCAGAGAAGGCTGGGACTCACCCCGCCCCTCACCCCAGGTCACACAGTTTGAGGGCTCTGGGGGGGAGCACTGCAGTAACCACAGCAGCCTGCAGGTGGCAGCAGGTGGCGAGAGTGGATTCCCCTCCAGACCAGGGTGAGAAGGGGCTGCCTCCATAGCAGCCAGAATTCAGCCGAAGTGTTAGAACTTCCCAGCCCCTGGAAGGGCTGGGGAAAAGGTCTTAATGTGGAAGGAGGGTTTCCTCTCCTCCTTTAGCTGTGTGGCTGTGGTTGTGGCTGTGGCTGTGGCGGGGGGCGGGGGGGAGCCCTGTCCCTCTCTGAGCCTCTTTTTTTATTCAGATCTTACATGAGCACCTACTGTGTGCCAGGTATGCAACTGAATTGCCAGCCGGTCCCATGCTCCCTCCAGGTTCTGCTTCCGGGCAGGGGTTTACTCTGCTGGAAGGGAAGGGTGATATCCCTGGCCCAGCAACCCCAGCCTCCGGAGCCACCAGCGGGAGCTTAGACATGAAGCGGCCCGGCCAGGTGAGGAGGCCACCTTGTTCCAGCGTCCAGGGCCCCTTGGACCCAGCTCCATTCCAGAGGCTCTAGGGGTCGCTTCGATTTGGGCAGTGTCTGAAGTTTCTACAACCCCCACAGCCCCCACAGCCCCCTGAGCCCCCACAGCCCCCCAACCCCCACCCCATAGCCCCACAGCCCCCATACCCCCCACAGTCCCACAGCCCCTTGAGCCTGCACAGCCCCCACAGCCCCCACAGCCCTCTGAGTCCCCACAGCCCCTCCCGCACACCCCGAAGCCCGGGGACAGGCTGGTAGAAAAACTGGGAGAGGTGGTATGGCCTTTGGGGTCAGAGGGGGGCCTCCAACCCTGAGGGGAAGAGGTCCCAGGAGGGACAGTCCACACCCCAAACATCCCACCTCAAACGAACCCTCCAAATGCGAAGAAAAGAGATGCCGTGCATGGGGGGTTCTTTAAGGGAATCAAAGGGTTAACAAGATGAGTAAGAAATGAGGCCCTATTGTGCCGTTTGCCTTGATAAGATGTAATAATAATCAGAAGATGAAATAGAGAGTTGAGGGGTATGTGCGCAGTACGGG